GGCTACTGGGAGGGCTAGCGGGGCTGAGCTGGGGGCCAGCCCAGGGGAGGGGGGGTCTCCAGGCCGGGGTCCCAGGGCAGCGATGGGGACAGGGCCCCTCTTGTCCCCCAGGTCCTTCCCCAGCAACTACTGGGACAAGTTCGTCAAGAGGAAGGTGAGGAGGAGGAGGATGGTGCCCTCCCTGGCACCATCGGCCTCACAGCTGGGCCGGGGCCACCCTGCCCTTGTCCACCGTGTACCGTGCCCTTGTCCACCGCGTCCCCGGGTGTCCCCAGGTGCTGGAGAAGTACGGGGACATCTACGGGCGCGAGCGCATCGCGGAGCTGCTGGGCATGGAGCTGGCGAGCCTGGAGATCGGGGCGCAGGGCGAGAGGAAGCCGCCCCCGGACAACTCCCTGCTCAGCTGGTGGGACGGGGTGTCCCGGGGGTCCCCGCGGTCCCCCATGGGACATCCCGGGTCTCACCCCTGCTGTCCCCCCACCCCAGCAGCACGTCCATCGACATCAGATACCAGATCTGGAAGTTCGGGGTGATCTTCACTGATAACGTGAGTGGGAGCGGGTGGCGAGGGGGGACGAGGGGGTCCCCGGGGTCCCCTGGTGGGGGGGACCGCAGGGCCTGGGGGGCTGGTGGCCCCTGGGGACTGATGGCCCTGGGGACTGATGGCCCTGGGTGCTGGTGGCCCCTGGGTACTGGTGACCACAGGTGCTGGTGGCCCCTGGGTATTGGTGGCCCCTGGTGTTGGTGGCCCCTGGGGACTGATGGCCCTGGGTGCTGGTGGCCCAGGTGTTGGTGGCCCCGAGTGCTGGTGGCCCCTGGGTACTGGTGACCACAGGTGCTGGTGGCCCCTGGGTATTGGTGGCCCCTGGTGTTGGTGGCCCCTGGGGACTGATGGCCCTGGGTGCTGGTGGCCCAGGTGTTGGTGGCCCCGAGTGCTGGTGGCCCCTGGGTACTGGTGACCACAGGTGCTGGTGGCCCCTGGGTATTGGTGGCCCCTGGTGTTGGTGGCCCCTGGGGACTGATGGCCCTGGGTGCTGGTGGCCCAGGTGTTGGTGGCCCCGAGTGCTGGTGGCCCCTGGGTACTGGTGACCACAGGTGCTGGTGGCCCCTGGGTATTGGTGGCCCCTGGTGTTGGTGGCCCCTGGGGACTGATGGCCCTGGGTGCTGGTGGCCCAGGTGTTGGTGGCCCCGAGTGCTGGTGGCCCCTGGGTACTGGTGACCACAGGTGCTGGTGGCCCCTGGGTATTGGTGGCCCCTGGTGTTGGGGGCCCCTGGGTATTTGTGGCCCCTGGGTACTGGTGACCCCCGGTGCTGGTGGCCCCCAATACTGGGGG